TTTGAACTCGGCAGCGGTAATGTAGAAATTATACTCAAGGTAGATAGAATCCTTATGTTGCTGAGCCACTGAATTACCATGATTTACATCTTCTTTAATGTTTTGTCTGATCGGATTATGTGAGGCTCTTGAGGTTGAGTATTCAATCTTGTGGGAGAAGAATTAACGTGAAAAAAACTTAGAAAACAAAAGAGAATTGGAGATTCAAACAAGATTACAAGAAAGTGGCACCAAAATAGTCCAAGGATGGAATAGTTTGGTCAACAGATTCAAAACGTAAGAGTTCAGATAAATGAACGAACAAATATGGTTAATACTTAATAGGTGTCGTGACCCACGCTCCAATTTAATCACCTAAAATTCGTAATTATTATTGTTAATGATGTTTCTTAAAACTCACAAGTGGTCAATAAGCCAAGTCAACGGTCCACCTGACTTAATCAAGTGTTAAGTGATCACATTGACTGACCTGACTCACCACATCTTTCCACAATCGACTTCACCAGAAATAAATATCTTGTTGCAACACTTCTCGTAAATATAAAATTTACATTTCGCTCCCGGAATTTAACGTCGTTGGTTCGTCACTTGATTTAAAGGTCATGATTAGAGCGCGACGATGTGAAAGTTTAAATCCGACGAAAAACATAAATGAGAAAAAGACCCAAAGATGCTGAAAGACAGGGGTAGATCTACAATGGGGGCAGTTGCCCTCCCCCCATCCCCTTTACATATATTATATGTATAGATCCCTTATATATATATACACACACACATAGACTAAACGTGTATAAATATTACACTAAACGTGTAAAAAATCTTATTTTATTATTATAATAATATAAAACTATAGACTCTTATGAATGATAGTGATAAAATTCCAATGTATTAGTTTACATTAAGGATGTAATTTACCCTTAAAACCTCCCATTAACCACTTGTTAGTAAAACCAAATTAAAATTCACATTAGGCACTATACATACATATTGAGTATTATTGACAAGAAATTTTAATAAAACCTACCCTATTTTAGTAAAACTACTTAACTGAACAAATAATTCAAAATAAGTTAATAATTTTATTTTACTACTCTGTAATTGTTTCAAATACTAAAAACAGAAGATGTATATGAAATTGATTTTGTTATAATTAAGACATGTAACAGATAATGTTCTCCACTAAGTATTTATAATGTCTCTAAGATAGGAGCAAGAGATAAAGGTCTCTAAATATAATCTTTAAAATAGATCAAAACGTGGGCATTGGGGTGATGATACGCAATTTTTTTTTTTTTTTTTTTTTTTTTTTTTTTTTGAAATATGATATGTAAAAATTGAGTTTTTTGCATTTTTGGTCCCACGACTATAGTGACACTAGCAGAATTGATCCACGACTTTTGAACCTTGCAATTTTAGTCCACGACTATTGATTTTTTTGCAAAAATGGTCCTTCCGACCACTTTTCCGTCAAAATTCCACCGGATTTTTTTTTTATTATCCATTTTTAACAGGGCTAAAATTGATATTTTACTTATCTCAAAATATAAAGGAAATACATAAAACGGAAAGGTAAAAGTGATTGCATTTGAGAATCTCCTCCGCTTCTCTCGCCAGAAATCTATACAACGAAGCTTTTCCGATGTCTTCGGATGATCCCGCAAGCGTGCTGGCTCCGCCTCCAATGCTGCTGCCGGATAACCCAACTAGCCCGGGAAACGCCATGGCCGCTCCGCCGCTTACTGACAGCCCTACCTGCTCCAGGAACTCCGCCGCCTGGGGCAGTAGTATGTAGCCCAGTAATATTGTATGTAGTCAAATGTCAATTTTTTTCTTTTATTTTTTGAGATAAGTAAAATGTCAATTTTAGCCCTGTTAAAAATGGATAAAAAAAATTTTCCGGTGGAATTTTGACGGAAAAGTGGTCGGAAGGACCATTTTTGTAAAAAAATCAATAGTCGTGGACTAAAATTGCAAGGTTCAAAAGTCGTGGATCAATTCTGCTAGTGTCACTATAGTCGTGCAACCAAAAGTGCAAAAAACTCTGCAAAAATTTGATCGAATTGATAAGTCAAAAATAAAAAATCAAATGTTGTCGATAGCCGACACTACACATGCGCTTAGTCGACATTTCATGTACACTTAACTTGCTTGTACTTCGTCATATGTTTACAAGTACACATACAACCTTCATTCAAAGGAATCATTCTGACTCACTAGATACATAGAGCATCTCCTTATACTAATATAAAATTCATAACGACAAATAATTATTAAAAAATTTTAAAAGAAAGTTGGGTGACGTAATTAGAGGTATAAACGAGATAAGTTGAGCTCGAATAGTTAAAGCTTAAAATTCGAAGCTTAGCTTAACTAGACTCGAGTTCAAACTTGACTTGATTACACTTATTAAAGTTTTTTATTTTTAGGTGATAATAATAATAATAATAATAATAATAATAATAATAATAATAATAATAATTTACATCTAAATATCATAGCAAACTCAATACTAAATCTCAATTATAGTCATTTTATAAATATATAACTATATTAGTTACATTTGTAATATTATATTTATATTAGAAATAAAAATATAAAATGTTTTAAAAAGTTCAATTAGGCTCAGCTCGTGAGAGTCCAGTATTAAGAGGTTTGAATTTGGCTCCTTATTGAAACTACTCGAGCTCGTAGTTGACTCGACAATAGTCGAATCAAATTCAAATATTTATCTAGTCGTGCTTGAGTAGCTTGGTTCATTACACCCCTAGACGCAATTCTCTATCTTTTTAAATGATATTTTAAATATGGTAAAAATTTGTATAAGACTGTCTCATGGATCTTTATCCGTGAGACGGTTCGGGTTAAGATAAAAATGTAAAATTTATACTGAAAAAATGTAATATTGATTAATATATAAAAATGTAAAACTAATCAGGAATAAAATGTTTGTTACTTATAAGAAAAAATGTAATAATTTTAAGAAGAATGTAATACTTTTATATTTTGATTTAAAAGTATTACATTTTCACTTAGGAGTAACAAGTACTTTATTCATGATTAGTATTACATTTTTCGTATCATATTTTCATATTGATCCGACCCGTCTTACGAATAAGGATATGTGAGATGGTCTCACTCTTTAAATATATTGTATACTGAATTTGGGAATAATGTAAAGATTGTTCTCACCGTATATAATTTTGACAAATATTCTTGTTCGGCCGTATGCATATACATATATATTAGGTGTGTTCAAAAAAAAAAAATACATATATATTAGGTGACAAATTATTTTCATTTCTTTATATCGAATAGTGGCATGTAAATTTGTCATACCACAACAGGTAATCATCAACCATCAGATATTGATGAGATATACATTTCGCACAAACTTTGTTATACAGTTTTTTTTTTTTTTTTTTTTTTTTTTAAGGTTAAATTTTAAAGTTTATTTTACTTTTTGTTCACAATTATATTGATATTTTCAATTTAAATTTCTGTTTTCAATATAATTTACCTTTTAATTTTGACTTAAAACAACATTTAAGTTTTAGTTTAAAATATCCCCACTTCGTAAACATTTAACCAAATTTCATTGTATTGTATGGAAAATGTTATGTATACCCCTATTTTTTACTCCTAATTTTTACTCTATCACACAAAATCTTGATGTAGACATTTGTACTAAGACTTACATGAAAAAAATAACTTATCAACGCCCGCCATACTAGAAAGTAAAATTGAGAGAGTAAGATTTGAGAGTACATATAATATCGATCTTCAAATAAAGGACAAAAAGAGGGTATAATAAGAAAATCAGTCCAATCTAGCCTAGAAACAAACTCATGAGCTAACAAATGGGTATTCAATTCACAAAGCACTTAACAAACGAGATATAAATATGAATAAAATAACTCAACAATATATATCTCTAATATCATGTAAAATTAAATCAAAGGAGCTGAGGATTCTTTAGCAACATGGTCTAAGCCTTGGACAACTAGAATAGCATCAATTTCAACTTGGACTCTGAAAAGATTTTTGGCCAGATGAGTGTTATCCTGAATTGCCATTGCGTTTTCTTCTTTTTTGAGAGCAAAACCTATTCCCAAGCTGCAACTTAATTTAGATTGCGTTTGATTGGGAATTTTGCACTCTATTATGGAATATATATATATATATATATATATATATATATATATAGACAAAGGATCAAGTGCGAAAGCTCTCCCAAAACATGCGGATTCATCATAATCATTGATCTTGGCAAAATCAACAATTCAGAATGAAGATAAATTTTTTAAAAAAAATGGTGGTATTATGGTAATTTTTACGTATTGTTGAAAGCTTAAGGTGCGTATTTTCAAAGTGGCTTAAAGTGCGTCATTTTAACACTTAAGGTGCATCATTTTAACACTTATGGTGTATCATTTCTACACTTCTGATCTCAATTAATTCCGTAACATGAGAATTAATACCTAGAACTGTACTCTGAAGAGTGGCTCTAATAATGGTTTGAAACGTGAGTAGTTTGAGAGGTAACTACTCCTAATGGTACCTTTCGAAAGGTACCCGCAAAGTTACGAGAACTGACCTTTCGGATTGTAAAGCTTAAGGTGCGTCAGTTCTACACTTAAGTGCACCACTTTAACACTTAAGGTGTGTCATTTTAACACTTAATGTGCGTTAGTTCTACACTTAAGATGCTTCATTTTAACACTTAAGGTGCGCCATTTTAACAATTAAGGTGTGTCATTTTAACACTTAAGGTGCGTCAATACAATACTTAGGTGCGTCAATTTGAAACTTAAATGCGTAAGTTTGAACCTTAAGGTGCATCGGTTCAACAATGGTAAGAGGAGGTCATTCGCATCTAGTTCCCAAGAAGCGCGTTTTTTTAAAATTTTTTTTAAAAAAATTTCCTTGATTTGAGCCGTTGATTTAGATCAACGGATCAGATCTCACCGCATCTTTCATCTGGGAGACTCTCGCATGTGAACCATCCCCTATATATATATATATATATATATATATATATATATATATATATATATATATAACACACACACACATACATACACACGCGCACAAATACACATGTATGCGTGTATATAATTAATTAATTAATTATTTATTTATTTTGATTTCAATACCTATTTACTATCAAACAAAGACTCATTCTACAAACTCATTATCATTTCCAAATATTTAATTTCAATGTCTGAACCAAAACACCACCTACTATGTTAGGTTTGAACATATAATAACTTATTATTATTCCAATGTCACAGGTTCAATTTTTACTAGTAACTTCTAATGTTGTTTATTAGTTTCTTTAGCAATGTTAAAAAAAAACTAATTGAAGTTTCACCTTTCACTAGATTCAATTCATCCCCATTTCCCAGTTCTAATTCCGCCTTTTGAATCAACAACCTATTCGTATGTTCCTTGCCTCCTTGGCAATGCACATTTTCCGAAGCTGAAATCGTCTTTCTTGCGATGAAGAAACAGCAAAGGTTTAACACTTCCATGGCAACACAAGTGTAGTACTCCGTAATTTAGAACAAAAGATATTATTTAGCTTTAATTACATTATATAATATAATTAATCTTATTAAAATAAAATAAAATAGTTATAATTACAATAATTTTTAAATTATTACAAATTGTATTAAAAAAAAACATGTATAACACCTATACACCAATAACGTATTAAATATTTTTTGTGAATAAATAAAGAAACAGTGTACAACTTGGTAGCAAGTGGGAAGGTAAGGTAGAACAGAACTCAATTCCCCCCAACTTGTGCTGTCTGCTTCGCATCGCACGTACTGAATCCACTCCACCGCTTCAACAAGAAAAGGTATGTTTCTTCTCAATCCAAATTTCTACTTGCCTTCAACCTAATACTACATCGGATACTGCTCCCCACACATCAATAATCAACAAATTCTTGATTAATCTTAGATTCTATCATCTTTATGTGCTGTTTAGTTCAACACCCATGGGCTGCATTTCATTTTTTTTTTTTTTCAATTCATATTTCAGTTCTATGAATTAATAAAGAAAGGGGTAGATGTGGGCAGTACTGGATGGCAATAAACTTTACCCATTTTTGTTATTTGGGTGGACCATTTAATTAACTTGTGTTCAATCTGGAGTTGTTGAAGAAAGTTTTGTTTTTTTTTTTTTTTAAAGTATTGTTACATAAAGTTTGAGTCTTTATGGATGTTCTGGATCTTTTGATTGCTTACTGGGCCTGTTCTTTTGAGGCTTCAGATTCATTCTTCAGATGATTAGAACTAAGCTTTGAGTTGCCTAACCTTTGATGTATGATGCTTGTCAGATTTTTTGAGTGTTTGTGCATAGTTCAAGAAGGGTTTTCTCCTTTATGGCAAATATACTATATAGTCTTCATCATTTATTTGATGACTTGTTAGAAACCTCTGTGTGGTAATTCAAGAATGTCACCTTTTATAAATCCTCTTGAGACTTCAGACTTTCTTTTCTTATTGGTTGGGTTTCTATTTATGTTTGACATTTGCACTATTTGGGTCCTGACGGGGTGTAAATGTCTACTGTTTGCTATTGTTTGTTATGTAAGAATGTAACAAATTTCGTGTTTATTTTCTGACCAGGTTTAGTGTTCGTTGCTCGTGCTCTTTATACACTCATCTAGGAGAATTCCTCTGTACCATTTTATCCTATCCATATTCTTTATTGCTTACAGGTGATGCAATGAATAGAAGCTGAAGCGATTAGTTTTGGTTGTTTGATGGATTCACATGTGAGTTTCTTGACCTCTTTGAATGATCCTAAAATTTTGAGTCCTTACCTATTTTGGAGCCATTTTTACTGAAAGCAATTGTCGGGCTTGTGATAGCATTGATATTATAAACATGTTTAGTGTCACTTTTGAAATGATGATTAGAATGTTGGTATTCTTGTGGTGGCCAAGTTTTTGCTTGTTGAATGTTAGGTCCTGGGTTTAAGCCCGGGAAATAGCCCTATAGAACAGAGTGTTCGTTTTTCACTCTGGGAAAATGTAGTACTACATTTAGTTTTAGATGTGGAAGCATAAACATTATATGTTGAGTTTGTCTCATATATGGATTGGGAATATGAGTTTGTCTTATATAAAGAATAAGAGTAAAGCGGATTGTATAGGGATTAGATGCCTATAAATATGTTGGTTGTATCCCATCACCAGTATCACCATCACAAGTAATAAAAGAATAGTTTCACTCCCGTGGACGTAGGCACATTACTGAACCACGTAAATCTTGCTTTCTTTCTTTCTGCCATTATTATTGTTTCTTGTTCTTGTTGTCTCAACATTATACTTGTTAATAGTTTTTTATCTGCTAGTAGTATACGGAGTAAATGTTATGTATTGAAAGTTTATTAGCCAGTTAAATTTGCTCTATCATAAATCACACTGCCGGACTGCTGGATTTTGCAGAACTGCTTCTTACGTTCTTCTCTCCTATTATGTTCTACATTCAGCTAAATGAATCAAAAACACCGAGCAGGATCGGAGATCGACCGACCAGTGATGTTGTAGTGAGGATTAGAACACAGGATGGTCGCGATCACAGGGTTTATTGTCATTCTCATATCCTTGTCCAACAGAGCAAGTACTTTGCTGACCGATTATCCGATACCTGGCCAACATGTCAGATTCTTGATTCACGCAACTGTGTTGAGGTTCATTGCGAAGAATCTGACTTGGACTACTATGTCAATGTCCTTCGACTCTTCTATGTCGTTTCAGATTCTTCAGTGACTGATATTTGCCAAGGTGTCAGGAGTGCACTTGGCATTTTACGGGCGGCTTTCAAGCTCGGGTGCCCACAGATTATTACGGCGTGTGCGGAATACTTGGAAGCCGTTCCCTGGGAAGAAACGGAGGAGGAGGATATCCTAAAAACGATTCCGGGCATGGGGTCCCAAGTGGCACCGGTTATTGCTCGCCTACAACCCGTTCTTCCTTCTGCTGTGGTCAAAATATTCCTCTCAACAATGCAATTTGCCACTTCCTTGCCTCCCGATTCTTTGAACGATCTAAAAACGACAGCTCAAGAACAGCTCGAGTACATGGTTGTTGAAGATGATGATGCTCCTCTGTTAACGGCCGATAATGAGATAAAACTAGAGGTAGTGCAATGCATTAAGAGACTGCTCGATAGGTTTAGCCAACTCGTAGAGTCTTTACTGTGCGATGTCCAAGAATCGATATCCGAGGACGGGAAATTGCAGTTATTTAAGTCGTGTTTATCGGATTTATCCTGGGCTTGCCAGATATTAACGAAATTGGAGATTATGAGAGATTTTGTTCACAGATGGACAGAGATATCAGTTAAAATAATAAAGGTTGTTCAGCAGTTGAGCCCCGAAGCTGAAACAATCGGGACCAAATTGAAGGTTCTTGAGGTGGCGGCAAAAGTCCTAGAGGCAATAGGATATGGCACGGTTATTCTGCCCGCGACGAAGCGCCTCCACATGGCAAAGGTCTGGCTTCCGTTTGTCCGGGCAATTAAGCCTTTGAGTGATTCGGTGACTGCCGACAGTGACGATGATCTGATTCCGAAAATAGACGGTGATCTATGGCAATCCTTAGAGGCGTCGTTTGTTTCAATGATACTTACATTGCCCTCGGCAGATCAGGCGGAGATCTTGACGGAGTGGTGGACAAACCAGCATGTCCAGTATCCAGACCTCACCGAGGCCTTTGAAGCGTGGTGTTATAGATCCAAGGCTGCCAAGCGAAGGCTGGCAATGCTCGAAGGAGATCATAGCACCGCCAATCCAGTATGATCACTTCTTCCGACAGATTAGAACACCGTTTTGTCAATCTAATCGTTAGGAACTGGAAATTTTTTTCTTCTGTTCTCGACATGGCTAAAATGGTCTCGGTTTTGTAAATTCATACCCGTACTTCTGGCACCCCATTCCGTTCGATTGTTTTAATCGTGGGGCCTTTTGTAAAACTCGAGTTGTGCTCGATTAATAGATTCTTTGCAATGGTTAATCAAGTTCATCTTCCAGCCTTGAAGACATCATATCCATCATTTTCTCACCATATATTGTTAGATTAATTAGCATTAACAGATGTTGCTGGTTTTGTAGATTTTCTTAATGGATCTGAGAGGCGGTCCAGATAAGGTCTTCACTTCAGTGGTCCTCGACCTCGGGAAAAAGCATTGCTTTAGGCATCTTGCCATGAAAAGCCAGTGAAAGAGTCCTCATTGGTTAAGCAATATGGTAAAGATGAAAGATTTCGGCAACAGAATTATTCTTCAAGTGGTTTGCATCCACAAGCAAGTACCAATTCAGGTTCACTTCCCTTTCATCAGATCAATAAACATCCAACCAAGAAACTCCGGTTTCTGTTTTTGGCTTTATTCTCTTGGAATGTTGAAGATATGATGATATTCCGTTGAAACTTTCTTCATAACACTTGTGGTTATAAAGATTGAATAGGCTTATTCTTATGCACACAACTTGCTCCATTGGCGCTTAGTGCTAATGCTACATGTGTAGGGCTGTGTAGCAAAACATTAGGGATTGTTTCAACACTAATCGAGTTGTTATACCAAGACCAGAGTTCATATTGCATTGTGAACTCTGATACAAAAATTTCGTACCTTCAGTTAACATATTCTGTATCTACAATAAACAAATAACTTGATAATTGCTGACACATAATATGATAGCTACAAGTACAAAAACTATCAATTGTAGGTACATAATGTGTCAACTATAGATACAGAATCTGACTTGATAATTGCTGACACATAACATGATAGTTACATGTACAGAAACTATTAACTGCAGGTATAAAATGTGTCAGCTATAGATACAGAATCTGAAGGTTATTTTTGGACCAGGGTCTACAATGCAAGGTAGACTCTGGTCCATGTATAATTTGCCCCTACTTTGATACTTATTTTATGGTTTATTATAACTTCATCTCGACTGTTAAGAGCCCACATTGAAAAATAAGAGAGAAACATGGGTTTATAAGACCCCATGAGTTAAACACTTAAACTAGCTAATTGATTGAATTCTTTGTGTAGTTTGACCATGTGCATTATAGCACAGTGGAGTGACCTGGACCAATCTTAGATTCTAACATGGTATCAGAGTTATATGCTGAAATCATGGTGGTAGGGGTACAAGAATAAAGCCAAAACATTGGGGATAAGTATAAAGTATGCAAATTGCCACTCTTTTTCCACTCTAATGGGCTCAAAAGTCAAAAGAACTATTAGATATAGATATTTGGTAGTTTTTCTTCTCAAGGCACTGCATCTCATAATCCAAGATTTTGACTTTCATGAACATACTTTTAGCCTTTGGACAATGGCATTGATGAAAACATCATTTAGCTTGGAACCACACGGCCCACACGTATGTTCTAGATAGACCCTAGCTAGTATGGACATTTCATCTAATGTTTTAGGTTAGATACATACATGGTTTTGTGAATATTGTACTAGATATTGTGCAATACCAATATGTTGTTTTTTTTTGAGAACTACCAATATGTTGTTAAGGAACACATACTAATGCAACAGGTTAGTTCAATTCCTAGTTCCTATTTAGACTCATAGGAGGGGGTTCAATAGAGAGAATAGCCGTGTAGCTGTACCAACTTGTTTTGAATTAAAACTTATTAGATGAATTGAGTTACTATGCGATATTATAGACAGAAATAATTGTTTAAGAGAAAATTACGGAAAAAGGATTGTTGTTGATTTTATGGGTTGAATTAGCCAATAAAATGGTATCGGTAGGAATATGCTATTATTATTCTTGGAATTAAGGTTGCCTGGTCAGTGGGCAATGTTCTAAAATTTATGCATTGAGGAAAAGTCGAGTCTCAAGAGACCAATTTGCAAATTCGTGGTACTTGTCTGTATGCACTACTTTCCAAAAGGAAATATGATTCCACCCCAATTTGTAAGGGATTCACAATAGGATCAATTCTATTGATTTTCTCGTCTTGTACCTTGTGTCTCACAACATAGTAGAGTTATTAACTTTCTTTTGGATTGATCAACTAGTTTAAGTTATAGCTCGGGACATTTATTTTTTCCTGCCATGATGAAAAGTCTATGATGACCAAGCTAAGCTAAGGCAAAATTTCTTCATAGCCAGGGCCCCACACTCCGGCCTGGCAAGATAGTATAGTGGTAAATTACGGTGATTCAACGATCCATTAGGTGGGAGGACCAATGCATAGTGCTACATGAGCCCATCAGATTAGGTGTAACTCTATACTGGTTTGCCGGGCTCGATACAAGCTCCTTTTCTTGAAAACTGAATGTACAAATTGTTCTGATAGCAATGAAACTTAACATTATCTTCTTCTATACCATCCCAAATTATGTGTTTTTCCACATCCAATATAACAATCCAATTATCTTATCTGCAACAACAAAATTAATATACAATCCTCAACCACATCTTCTAAAAGCCTAAACTATCCATAAGAACTCTAGTGGTTCTTCTGCAAAGTGTAGACCTGTACTATGTAAAAGCTTTTAATTTTTTTTTGTTTTTCAAGGTTGTTTGCACTAACCATAATGAAATGTCGTTCTTCCTAATAGTTTTGGGAAATGGAAGAAAATAGTGATGAAGATCAGACAAAGAGGAGGACCCTGCAGACAACCTTAAACTCGATCAGGTGACAAAGTCTGGCAACAATTGTGCAGGGAACCTCTTGCGGTTTTGGATGTTGAAGTTGTCGAACACGCTGGTGGGGTGAGCAGATGTCGGAGTGGTCATTCCAGCGACGAAATCATTTGCTTCGGCTTCACCAATCACGACTCCCCTTCCCATTTGATTGGGGAGGAAATTGTGGTGTGTGGCAGACATGGCGGCGGAGAGGTTTTCGCTGTGCTGCAGGCCGAGGGTTAGGGAGACAGCGTTGGTGGAATAAGGCGGGGGGAATTGCTCGGTGGTGAACCGCCCCATTTGCTCCATTGGGTAGGAGCCGAAGGCGGCCATGAAGTTTGTTGATCCCTCCACCAAGGGGAATCCTTCTCGGTTTTGCCTGTCGTTGCCAAATTTCATGAGAGCGGGCATGTCTGAGCCCCCCCGCGGCTTCTTTGGACTTCCCTGAGTAATGCTTTCCATTTCTGAGGGTCCAATGAGGTTGAAACCTGGATGGTTGGCATTCATGGTTATCCCAGTAATAGATGTTGATGCTGCAGTGGACATTACTGGATTATTATTATTATTGGCTTGTTTTGGGGTGTCAATATCATTATTCCTGTCTTGATTTTCTGAGCCAGGGGGAGTTTTGTGTTGCAGAGATGCTGAGCCTTCTTCTTCTTCATCTGCTTCCTCTTTGCTTGTTTTGTCCTCTGCTCCTCCTCCACTCTTTTCTTGCTCCTTGATCTCTTCCAGGTACATCTCTTCCACCATCGGTTTCCATAGCCGAACTCGAGCATTAATGAACCAATTCGACACCTGAATCCATCAAGAAGAAGACACTTTAAAAGATCAATTCTGTAACTGAAAACTTGAAATCTGTTGGGCTGAGGCCTGAAGGGCAAATCCAGCACCAGGTGAATAGGGGATTGTTGGGTTGAGGCTCCAGAAGGGTCAAGTTTGCACATTGGCCCCGTTTGGTAACATAGTTAGCTTATTAGTCAATTTTTGGTTTATTTGACCACTATTAACTATTTGACTTGGTTAAACAACCAATATAATTGTTTGATTAATTAGCTTTTTGTAACTGTTTATTGCTCCAAACCGCTAAAATTCAAAAAGCTACTCAAACTAGATTTCTTGATCAGCTTTTAAAAAAAGTTATTTTGCATGTAATCAGCTATCAACTAAGCCAATTTACCAAACATCTTTCTACAATCAGCTAAGGCAATCAACTAGTTAAATTCACTAACTCAATCAATTAGCAGCTATCAGCTAACAATTATTTACCAAACACTCTTCTTGTCTTTTTAAAATGTGGCGCTGATTGCTACACATGTATTTGGGCGTACTGATAAGCGTTTAATCTTAATCTTAACAAAAACAATTTAATGAATCATTCATTCCCTCACCTGACTCCTAGTAAGGCCTGTCTGTTTAGCCAGCATGATTTTGTCTGAATCCTTGGGATAACTGGACACAGATTGGGACACACAAAGTGAGGAAGCATGATATGATATGATATTTGCATTGCATTTCACAGATTCTTGAAATTCAAAACTTACGGATGGAGGAAATGTTCAAAGAGCCAAGCTCGAAGCACAGAAACTGAACGCTCAGGCAATCCTCTCTGGGGTCTCCAAGCATTGTGCTGGATCATTCCCAACTGTTGCAGAGCCCTCTGTTGTCGGAGCTGGTTGTCCACCATTTTCAGCCGGGACGATGAACCTTCCACCTTCATTCCCACACCCTCTTCCCCTAAGCTCTTGCTCGCCGCTCGTACTTGCCCCAAGATCGCGTCTTTCAGGCACCGGAATTGCTTCGAGATTGTCTGCAACGCCACCGCCGTGTAGGTTCTCGCGGAACCCGGTCCGGCCGCTTGCTCGAACCATGATATTACTATGTGCATCTGCTGATGATATTGTCTGTACCTCTGCTCCACCTACAAAAATCCCATAATTCAATCATCAAGAACAAAATCGAAGAAGAATTCTGTTGAGCGGAGACTGGTGAATGGTCAAATTCAGTGCCCAGAATTGTTGGACAGAAGCCTAAAGTGTCAATTTCAGTACCATATAAGAAAATAAAATTGGACATTTACTACTAACGTACGAATTTTAAGAAAATTTGTTACCTCATCAAGCATGTTTACAAGCTTTGCTTTTTTCATTTGAATTTCTTGCCTCTCTGCAGTAGTGAGCTCGGTGGTGCGGTTACCGCTGCTACTCTCTACTCCGGCTTGTCCCTCGCCGGAGGAGTCTCCGGCGATACTCTTGGCTTGAGAATTAGCTCCTTTGGCTGATGATTCCGGGCCGGTTTTTATTCCCTTGCCGACATTAACAACCTCCTCAAGGAGCTCTTGTGCCGCCTTCAAATACTTGGAACTCAAAATCCTACTTTGAGCGCCATTGGAAACGGCGGAAGCGGAGGAACACGATCCGCCGGATACCCGCACCTGATCGTCGGCGCCGGACGTTGGAGATATAGCCGCAGTCACCATCTGCTGTGTCGACCCGGCCTCGCCCTCGGGCCGGAAATTCCCATGCTGAGACGAGGAGAGGCTCAAGGACAGCCCACCCTGCGCGCGTGTCACCTCACGCGCCGCCGACAATTCAACCGACGACGGCGGCGGCCCGTACATGTTGTTGTTATACTGAGACCTGATGAAGCCGTGGAGGGCGGTGATATCATGCTGCTGAGAGTGCACCGCGGAAGCGTGGGCCTCCTGATGAGACCCCGCGGCCGTGGCAAGCGGGATCCCGACAAACTGTTGCGACTGCGACGGCGGCGGCGGCGCGTGTGACAACGTAACAGCGTTCCCACCAGAAGTGATGGAGTTGAGGAATGCGAAATTGGTCCCCGCCGCCGGTTGGGTGTCAGAGAATCCAACATTTACATACCCAGCAGGGTTCATCAGTATAAGAGTTTGCAACCCATCACCCCCTCCTTGGATTTCCGAGTTTCCATGAAAGTACGTTGCCATCTTTCTCTGTCAACCTAATTATCACTGCACCAAACCCACAAAACATCTTTTCTTATCATTTCTTTGCGTGTACCCGAGGAACACAAAACGTGTCCCTTTTCAACTAAAAGTTTAAACCGATAATCAGACTGTATACTTATATCTTATACAGAACTATATTATATGCTCAACACATACATGAAGGTGAGAGAGAAAAGATTCATCCCATCTAGTTGGTGAAGAAGTGAGAGACCAATTGCTAAGCTAGCTACAATGATGAAACTTGAAACCCTGCAAAATTCAAAAACAACACAATCATTAATCACTACGAAATTTGCTCATATATATACAGACAAAGGGATGGAGAGAATCAAGAACTGGTTATATATTTAACTATAGTAGATATATTTAATTGTTTAAATTTATGATTAGATGACATGATATATCATATATATATATATATGGGTACCTCACGATGGTGGGAAGGAAATCTGTGCACGTGTTCTCACATCATCATCATCATCATAATATGTATAATCTGCGGGAAAAGAAACAGAAGAAAATTATGGTTACAGTGACACATCTGCAGAAACCGCAAAAACACCAAGAAAATTGCAAAGGAAGCACACCCAAAGAGTGAGACCGTACGCCACGCCTTTCTACTTGATCTACAAAGATCTATATATCTGTGGAGTTATTTATAGTATCTGTGTGTATATATATATACCCATCTATAGATATATGAATAGATCGGACAGTGGGAGCTTGTACGTACTATGCAGTTACCTGCCTGACTTATGCTGTCATACTCAAATCAATACTCTCTCTGCAACTTTTTCTTTAAGACTAAAGAGAGAGATATAAGCCTATAAAGGGGGTAGTGGGTAGGGGTAGGGGGATGGGGGATGGGGGATGGGGCTAAAAGTTAAGAGCAAAAGATACCCATCTTTATTCAACTATTTACCCACTCGTTTCACTACTACCATGCACCTCACTATAACCCAAAAGGGATATAATGTAAGTAGTATCAGTAAATTTTTTTTCCTCAAAGATGAGTAATTTTGTGGGAAAAAAAAAAGGTGAGCTTTTTGAGTGCAGTACAAACTTGGGAATTGATCAATGATGAATTGACTCTCTTCCCTCTCTTTTCTCGGAACTTGTCCACAATCTGCCACCCAAGAATCAATTAAGTTATCTGTGCGGACAGCTTTTGAAACTTGTCCACAATCTGTCACTCAAGAACTAGTTGAGTTACCTGAACGGGCACCTTTTGAAATTTGTCCACAATATGCCACTTAAGAACCAATTGAGTTATCTGTGCGGGCAGTTTTTGGAACTTGTCTACAATCTGCCACTCAATAACCAATTGAGTTATCTGGACAAACAACTTTTCAAATTTGTCTACAATCTACCACTCAAGAACTAACTGGGCTACTCGTGCGGACTTATTTTATAAAACAGGTTAATGATGAATGATGAACTTAATAATGGAACATAAAGACCTTTTTATTAGAGAGTGAAAGATGGACATATACAATGATGTGTGTGTATATGGGGAATGCTATCTATCAATCTATCGCCATAAGCCGCCTGTCAGAAGATAGAAACGGCTGAAAAACTAGGAAACGTCCTCTTCCACTAATTCTTTACACTTTTTTTTTTTTTTTTTTTTTTTTTGTATGTATAAAAAAAAAAAGTGAAAAAGAAAACAAGAAGTGAAGGGAGAGGGGGGAGGAGGAGGGAGAAGAGAAGAAGATGATGATGAGTGTTGGGGCCCTTCTTTTTAATTATTGATCTCTCTTTGTCTTTCTTCTTTTTATTATTATTTTTTCTTTTGTGTGTTTTCTTCTTTTATTTATTTATTTATTTATTTTTTATGTGGTTGGGTGCTAGGGTTTGTAGATATGGCCATTAACAAGGTAAGCAGCTGGAACACACGGCGGCCAACGACCATAACACCTACTACTTATTAGTAATGTCCATAAAACTTACAATATCTCATCATCTATTCTACTTACTTCCTTTCAAAAACAAAAGTACTAGATGCATATTTTAACCATGTTAATTTGTTTTTTTTTTTTTTCCTTTTAAAATAAAAGGTGATGGGTAGGGGTGGTTATTTACTTAATTATGAGTCGAATTAACAAATTTTTCATTTTAATGAATTGAAATTGTTCATCAAATTGAACCGATGTAATTTGACTATTGAACAAATTAATTCGGATTATATTGGTTAATTGCACAACCTAGTGATATATAATACAAAATTTCTTATTCTTTTTTATTTGCAAAGAGATATGAAAGTAAAAGATATTTACTACTACTACTACTATTATATATATATATATATATATATATATATATATATATATATATATATATATATATATAGGGGCGCTCTCAGGTGAGAACAGCCGCCCAGGAGAGAAATAAGAACCACTCACAGCCGTCCACGTGTTCAGATCAACGAATCAGATGTAATTTTAAAAAAATAACGTTGAAATTTTCGTAAAATAACTCGAACTTTGGTGCAAGTAAATGTGTTGCAAGTGCAAGTAGCTAGTGCACCTTTACAAGTAAAAAGTGCACATATTTTCACTTACAAGTGCAAGTAATTTACCTTGTTAACATCCATGCACCTTAGGTGCACCCAGTTATAACGTTAGGCGCACTTAGTATTGATACTTAGTGTAAATTTTACTTGCACCTGTAATACATTTTATTTGCATTGAGGTACACTATATGAAACCTACTTGCACTTCGATGTTCAATTATTTACGAAAATGTCACCGCATTTTTTTTTAATCAGCGTTTCTCATCCATTAGATATGGACACGTGAACAGATGTCATGCGTTCTGAGTTCTTTCCTGGACAGGCAGTTCGCAATGAGAATGTTAGTTCTTATATGATCACAATCGTGTATATATATATATATATATATATATATATATATATATATATATAATATGAACTATAGAAAAATATTGTTAATTCATCATTTTGATAAATAAATAAAAAGGAGCATACAAATTACAGGCAAGGCTTCTTTTGAACTGTGGAGATACTGCTAAAACTTGATATGATGTATAATTTCACTTCTTAAGATTCTCCCTAATTGGGAGACTGTTTCAATATCAACTTCTCCATTTGTGTACCTTTCAACCAACTGAGAGCTTCTCGAATACACATAGCTTCCGCTTCTAACACACACTGTATTGACCCTAAATTCGTAAGTCTTTCGCTGCCAAGAATCGACCCCCATCATCATGTAAAATCCATCCTAGACCCATGGCATTATTCTCCTCATCAAACGTTGCGTCTGTATTCAATTTTAGTTGACCCGGACCTGACAACAGACTCCCAATTAGTTTATTTTGCTTTACATTCGAACTCTTTTAATTCTACTTTTGCTTTTATTATATATTGACGATATTAAAGAAGTTGCCTCTACGATAAATGAGGTAGTCTCCGGTTTTGTTAAGCGATCTACGAATCGTGCTGCCCACACTGTTACTTGGGAAGCTGTTTCTATGTCAGATTGCGGGGGTGGTTTGACAATCCTCTTCATTATCTTGTTGATGTTCTTCTTTCCATTTAATGCATTAAGTTATTATTCTCAAAAAAAAAAAAAAAAAAAAAAAAACTCCCTAAATTAACCTCTAATTTAAAATATTATATCAATTTTTTTTTTTATAATAGTTTTCTTTATTCTTTCCTTGTTCATGTTGGTGGCCGGGCCAGATAAAGAAGGCTAGGGTCAAGAATGATTACATTATTTATTTACAATTATGATGAACGGATCTAACTTAGTAATCAATCATTTTACAATGGACCATTGTTCACCTAATCACTAACATAAAATTCATTTTTAGTGTATTAAGATTAATTTTAATACTCGCTCTTACGTTGGCTATGCCATTGATAGCTGCAGGCAAATTGCCGTTTATTTTCACTCATGTTCTTTTAATTATATTTCTAGATCGGACAATTATTTAGCTCATGCTTTAGCCACTACGGCTTATCAGCAACCTGATACTATGTACTGGGATACTCACCCACCAGACATTATTTCAGCATTTTTCTAATGAAGCACCGCAGAAAATTTTCAAAAAAAAGATTAATTTTAATACTTTGAATGTTTTTTATTTTTAATGTTCTTTTTTTTATTTACTGAAGGCTCATTATTTGGTATACTATCTAAAAATAAATTTTCAATACAAGAAAAATGAACATTTTGTATGCTAAAATAAATAGTTATCCTTACGTGCTTAACATTACAATGTAGATAATGGTTCACGTACAATATAATTTACTCATAGCAATAATTTCGCAAGTATTTAACAATCTAGCTAGCTAGCTCAACCAAAATTTGTTCAAAATATTAGTTTCTTTTCAAAAATAATTATTATTGAAGAACTATTTCTAATAACTAATTATTAAACAATTATTTATTGACATTTGATGTTGATAATTTAATGATGACTTCTACTTTTCTAACATAGTTTGCCAAAAATTATATCTTGATAATTTCTTAACCTAGCTATGACATTTTGCAAAATTGAAAGATGTTCTTCGTCTCTACTAAAAGCTTAACCTAATAGTTGCATTGTACATTAATTATTTATATATAATATGTTCAATTTTATAAAGTATTTTGAGTTTTTACATATTATTTCATTGGTTAATTTGTAAACATATATTATTTTTCTTGTAATCTAAATAACTAGGAAAAGGAAAATGGAGAAGTAGAATATAAGGAAATATATACATGATATGAAACATGTCACGATTTATCATTACGTCAAAAGTTATAGCCAGTAATGATGACAAAACTTTATTTCGATATACCTATGTAACCTTTAGCACCATGTTTCGATGACAGGATGGTGGACTCGGCCTTCTAAGTTACCGCCCAAAACATGATAGGAATGATATGATATACAAATATACTAGTTTAAGAGAAAACTTTTTTTTGTGGTCAGACCATGAGGTGTCCTGAGCAGACACTAACTGTAACTGTACGCAAATTATGCTGTGGAAACGTGTTCACCATGTACATGGTGAACACAGGGGTAGATTCATAATTTCTATGTTGTAGTTCATAATTTTGTTTTTTCATTTGTTGTTAACGACGTTTCTCTCTTCGCAATCGCATTATTTCGTCTTCGCAGTACAAATATTATGAATCTACAGTACAGAAATTATGAATCTACAGTATAGAAATTATGAATCTACAGTATAGTAATTATGAATCTAGAAATGATGAATCTACAGTATAGATGTTATGAATCTACAGTATATAAATTATGAATCTACAGCTTAGAAATTATGGATCTATCCCGTGTTCACCATGGGCATGGTGAACACAGTTCCATAGCATAACTATTAATAACTGTAGGAGGCACCTTTAAGCTCGTACCATACTCAGTCTAATCCCCATTCGCACCAAGCCGGTCAAATTAAGGGGCAAAATGCTGACCAGATTGATTTTTCCATACGAGAGGGGTTCAAACTCCCGACCTTTCTTAAAGGACGAGAGTGCAAGGCCACTTACGACAACCAAGCTGGTTTAAGAGAAAACATTTTTAAAACGTGAAAACGTCAACCCTTGAAAGTTCCCTTGGATCAAAACTTGTAATGCCTTACAATTTAATACACTAGCTTTGATTGGAAGCTATCATTAATACCCATAGCTCATTGCGTATATATGATATATGCGCCAAACTTAATTCTTCAATACGAGAAGTACGTTGCTTATTGAATCTTTCTGTCCCGAAACAATTAATACAATTGAAAAAGTAAAAAATTAAAGTCACCAAAGCTTTAATATCACCATTGTTGTCA